TGGCAATCCTCTTCCCAATGCGTTCCCGTCGCATCTACACATCTGTGATACCCGATGTCCCTCTTTCACTGTCCTCCTTCACTGTCTGCCTTTGGGTGAAGCCAGTCACAGTCTCCAACAAAACAGTTCTGCTCTCCTATGGCAACCGCCGCAACCCCTATGAGATCCAACTCTTGCTCAGCCACACATCAGCCCTGTTCACCATAGGAGGAGAGACTCACCTGGTGGAGGCACGGGGTGTAGTCGACCCAAAGGGTCCTACAGAATGGCTCCACCTATGTGGGTCTTGGTCCTCTGAGCAGGGCCTGGCATCCTTGTGGGCAGGTGGGAAAAAGGTTGCTTCCACACCCGGAGTGGCAGAAGGACACATCCTGCCAGACGGAGGCTCACTCCAGCTGGGACAGGAAAGGAATGGTTGCTGCCCTCTGACCCCAAGCAGTAGTGGGAACGGGGTGCCGGGGTTTGAGGCAGGGTTCGATCCCAAGCTGGCTTTCGCGGGCACAATGACGGGAGTGAACATGTGGGACAAAGTGCTACCGGAGGAGAAGATTTCCCTGCTGGCCTTGAAAGAGGGCCAGCAGGGCTGCGAGCAGAGGGGGAACATCGTGGCGTGGGGTGTGACAGAGATGGTGCCACATGGAGGCGCTCTATTCATCAACTAAAATAGACTCTGTGAACTCCATCAGCATTGTCCTTGCCTTTCACAAACTTGTGAATCGCTTTCATCCTAAAACTGAGGAAACGTCACCTCTACGCAAATATTTCAATCTTTATTTTTCTACCACAATCACTTCAATTGAGGCCATATCTCACACTCGCTGCTCGCTGCAACACGCAAACACTGTCGAGCATTCATCTTGGGAAAACGTGTGTTGCAGCAGGGACTGCGCTGCAAGCGATGTTTACCAAAGACCTAATTAGGGTGAAAGAAAGAGTCCATTGTGAAAATGAGCAAGTTCTGAGCCAATAAATGAAATAACTGAGCAGACACAAGAGAGGGTAACCAGAGGTCAAAAATAATTGAAATGTTTGAATCGTAACGCCATTTATGTCCTTTTATTTGGAGTCATTTTTGTCTGTCTACTTTTGTCATACACAGCAAAAATCCATCTTTTGGCAGTCAAACCTGGTATTTGCTTTCTTAGAGAGCCATTCTCAGATTAGTCCGCTGTCGGACAACTTTACATTGCAGAAGCTGTCAGCGTTTTCTTTCACTTTTCGCCTCACCGAGCCCCTTGTGTTGCTTTGTACTCATCAACATTTTTTACATTCATATTAGTCATTCTATGTCTGCTTTGTCAGCTGTATTTTACACATGGTGTAATACATGTATTTTTTGTAATGCAGTTACATAGTTACATTATATATATATGTTATACATGGTACATATATATATATATATATATATATATGCGCGCGCACACACACACACACACACACACACACAAACACACACACACACGCACGCACGCACACACAGTGAGGGCAATGTTTACATGGTCTGGTCTTTAGTGAGTTAACTTGTCTTATAGAATATTGTACAGGTATGTTAACTGAATTTGGTTTCCCTGGTAATGGAACTGAGTGAAAATGAATGTATTTTGTACATAAATGTATTTTGAAAGGAGAATGTGATATGAATAAAGCTATACTAGTGTGCTTGTTTGCCAAAGTGTTTGATTGCTGAGAGAAATGTTTCCCTTTGCCCCTCAAAGATGAATTTTCAGGAGATTTAGATAAAAACTCAGGAAGCACAGGAAAAACAAGGGTTAAATAGTGGGGAAAATAGATCTACACATCTACTGAGAATTCCAGACAGCTCATAATCAAATAGGATGGATGAAGACCATTAAGAGCTTTAAACCCGATAAATGCCAATCAAACGAAAGCTCAAAGGGCTTTCGAACCGCCTGCTCTCGGCCCCTCAAGACAAAGTAGGATAGATGCATGTTTCTTAGCTGGGTAGAACAAGAAGACTTGCTGCTCGAGAGATGACATTTTAAAAACTTAACTGTGAAACACGCTCATGTAACCAAGATATCACAAAGTCCATCATTCACCTCGCCCATGACATCACCCATACTTCTTTCACAAATTGCTGCTAGGGACACGTACGTGTGAAGAAGTCATCTGTTTTTGCTTCGATGAGCTGTATGTGTAAGCGCATCTTTTGCATGTTTCTATTCCTGTGTATACCTCCAGTTCCAAGGTATGGCTAGCTCATGAAGAACCAACGCGGGGTGAAATACATCAGAGCACAGTTTAGGCACCGCAATGGCACAAAAAAAGAAGAACATTATTCAGAGTTTGTATTTCAAAGGTCTCAAAGTTCATCATTTGTCTACTGTGTGGTTATGTCATCATCTGGCTTGAAAAAGGACCACCATCAAACCGTCACCCCTGGTGAGCTGCGCCAGTGGGTTTTGTGCAATTTTATCGATAAGATCAGTTTATCTCATTCATTTCTAACACAGTTTTCTCACAGCTTCAAGCATTAGCCTGTCATCCCAGGATGAAGAACTTCAGCACTACCACATTGCAGCTGACAAAGCATGCATTTGGTAGAGCACAACTAAAATGTAAATAGCACACATTAAAATGGAAGCCATTACCACATCGCACCTTCTCTAGTTCTTTTTCTTCGGATAACGACTGACTTCGGCCAAGCGGTAGTACAGTGAGGCGAGATTTGTCAATTTCGAATCAAAGTGAAGATACCAAGGTTGTATTTTCCTCACAAAGGGCTATATGGGGCATTGTGAAAGTGACATTATTTGAATGGTGCACGACCTTGTAATTAGGGGAACTTGCAACCTGGTCACTTTCAGTAGTCTGGAAATCTGTAATTATTTTAGATCTAGGACTCGGAGGATACAGTCTTGTCTGATTCGATATGCTTGATGTGTGTATCTTTCCTAAAATTCTTCACTTTATACTGTCAGGATTCTGCTATGAAAATTGCTGTGCTGTGCGGTCGTATAATTTGTATATCCCACATCTACATATCGACATTAATCAAAGAATGGGTGAGTGTCATTTTACCCATTGCAGCTAGCAAGGACCTTTTCATGCCATATCTGTATAATACTGGGAGTATTGTCCAACCTGCAAGCACGCTGAGCGTTATGGCCTCCGTATGTTCAGCCAGTAGATCGACCTCGACTATAGCAGCCAGTGAGAGATAACTGGACATGTTCCTGCTCAGCTCTCTGTTCCCTCTTTGGAGGAAGCGCACCGCCACCGGGACAGCCAACACCATGACTGACGGACAACTGTAATTCTGTGGAAAAAAAAGAGAGAGGGGGATGAGGGAACAAGCAAGCGAATGATCAGCAGTCGAATATAGACAACAAAAGTTTTAAACTTGGCGAAAACCAACGGCACTGCATTATCCATACCATTAATTACAGAAAGAGGATGTTGCATTTTAGAGAGCAGGTGTATATTAGTGCTACAAAGCCACAGGGCGACACGAAGCAGCTGCATTGAATGTATTTTGTACATAAATGTATTTTGAAAGGAGAATGTGATATGAATAAAGCTATACTAGTGTGCTTGTTTGCCAAAGTGTTTGATTGCTGAGAGAAATGTTTCCCTTTGCCCCTCAAAGATGAATTTTCAGGAGATTTAGATAAAAACTCAGGAAGCACAGGAAAAACAAGGGTTAAATAGTGGGGAAAATAGATCTACACATCTACTGAGAATTCCAGACAGCTCATAATCAAATAGGATGGATGAAGACCATTAAGAGCTTTAAACCCGATAAATGCCAATCAAACGAAAGCTCAAAGGGCTTTCGAACCGCCTGCTCTCGGCCCCTCAAGACAAAGTAGGATAGATGCATGTTTCTTAGCTGGGTAGAACAAGAAGACTTGCTGCTCGAGAGATGACATTTTAAAAACTTAACTGTGAAACACGCTCATGTAACCAAGATATCACAAAGTCCATCATTCACCTCGCCCATGACATCACCCATACTTCTTTCACAAATTGCTGCTAGGGACACGTACGTGTGAAGAAGTCATCTGTTTTTGCTTCGATGAGCTGTATGTGTAAGCGCATCTTTTGCATGTTTCTATTCCTGTGTATACCTCCAGTTCCAAGGTATGGCTAGCTCATGAAGAACCAACGCGGGGTGAAATACATCAGAGCACAGTTTAGGCACCGCAATGGCACAAAAAAAGAAGAACATTATTCAGAGTTTGTATTTCAAAGGTCTCAAAGTTCATCATTTGTCTACTGTGTGGTTATGTCATCATCTGGCTTGAAAAAGGACCACCATCAAACCGTCACCCCTGGTGAGCTGCGCCAGTGGGTTTTGTGCAATTTTATCGATAAGATCAGTTTATCTCATTCATTTCTAACACAGTTTTCTCACAGCTTCAAGCATTAGCCTGTCATCCCAGGATGAAGAACTTCAGCACTACCACATTGCAGCTGACAAAGCATGCATTTGGTAGAGCACAACTAAAATGTAAATAGCACACATTAAAATGGAAGCCATTACCACATCGCACCTTCTCTAGTTCTTTTTCTTCGGATAACGACTGACTTCGGCCAAGCGGTAGTACAGTGAGGCGAGATTTGTCAATTTCGAATCAAAGTGAAGATACCAAGGTTGTATTTTCCTCACAAAGGGCTATATGGGGCATTGTGAAAGTGACATTATTTGAATGGTGCACGACCTTGTAATTAGGGGAACTTGCAACCTGGTCACTTTCAGTAGTCTGGAAATCTGTAATTATTTTAGATCTAGGACTCGGAGGATACAGTCTTGTCTGATTCGATATGCTTGATGTGTGTATCTTTCCTAAAATTCTTCACTTTATACTGTCAGGATTCTGCTATGAAAATTGCTGTGCTGTGCGGTCGTATAATTTGTATATCCCACATCTACATATCGACATTAATCAAAGAATGGGTGAGTGTCATTTTACCCATTGCAGCTAGCAAGGACCTTTTCATGCCATATCTGTATAATACTGGGAGTATTGTCCAACCTGCAAGCACGCTGAGCGTTATGGCCTCCGTATGTTCAGCCAGTAGATCGACCTCGACTATAGCAGCCAGTGAGAGATAACTGGACATGTTCCTGCTCAGCTCTCTGTTCCCTCTTTGGAGGAAGCGCACCGCCACCGGGACAGCCAACACCATGACTGACGGACAACTGTAATTCTGTGGAAAAAAAAGAGAGAGGGGGATGAGGGAACAAGCAAGCGAATGATCAGCAGTCGAATATAGACAACAAAAGTTTTAAACTTGGCGAAAACCAACGGCACTGCATTATCCATACCATTAATTACAGAAAGAGGATGTTGCATTTTAGAGAGCAGGTGTATATTAGTGCTACAAAGCCACAGGGCGACACGAAGCAGCTGCATTCATGGACTGTCTCCGTTTCTCCACAGAGACAGCAAAAGGACCTTCACTTCTTTGTCATGACCTACAATTACAAGTACTGTATACCTAATCTTTTGTAAGCAAGGTTTAATACTACAGTATAACAGTAAATACAATCTGAGGAAACAGCAACAGTCATGATCCATGAGTCGACAGAAAGCAGACTTGTCGCGTGCTACCCAGCAAAGCAGGCAGCAGGTGGACAAAGGTGTACTGGCGCCCTCAACTGGTGAAACGGATCTGAGTGCATAAGTTTGTGATGATCAAGAAAGTTAACGGAGATTTCTGCCGATCCGTCACTGATGCATAAGCACACTTGGTGACATGATATAGAAAAATATGTTATATGTGAGCATTAATCATGCAGGAAAAGATGATCAAACAAGATTTTGGAGAGTGATGAATGTCTTGTCCATTTGTCCAGAGACGGCCAGATTCAACATCTCTGGCCATTTTTTTTAATGTGCATATGCATTCTGCATCATAGGGATTCTATGATTGGCTGATGACCACTCCAGGGTGTACCACACTCAGTGAAACATGTAACTCATGGTGTGTTTTCAATTAACTTTCACCTAGTCGCTAACTCCTGGAGGTCGGAAACTGCTGACAATGACACAGTAGATCACACATCACTTTGTGCGAGGACAGCATATGGAGGATAAAACCTACAACTATACCGTGTGTGCCTGTGTGTGTGTGTGTGTCTGCATGTGTGCGCGCATGTGTGATATGCATGTTACAACCTGCTGTGCTATCATTCCCTGCCTGAATGTTCAGTGTTTAGTTGTCCACCTCTCAGTGGATTAAAGGGGGCTTCGAGCATCTGTGAATCAAACGACAGGAAGTCAAAGTGAGAACAGAAGGACAAAAGAGAAGAGACAGATGGTCAGAGGGTAAAGAAAATCAAAGAGCAGCTGAAGCTGAAGAGATCCCATCGCCGTTGGGAGGTCGGGCAATGAAACCGGGAGCTGCTGTCAAATGTGTGTGTGTGTGTGTGTGTAAGTGTGTGCGCGCGCACGCGTGTGCATGTGCGTAAGTCCTTAAGACACCGCCTCATTACAAGGCTATTAAGGACATTCCTATTCCAACAGCGAATATGAGGAGGAAGAACAGAGGAGAATGTGACTGACTTGACATCATGTAGTTGTCGAGATCTGGTGTGGGAATGCACAGGCCCAGTTGTGAGGTTTTATATTGAATATTTAAATACCTGTTGTTGGTTTGTGTCCTTTAAAGCACAGGTGTCAAATTCAAGGCCCGGGGGCCAGATCTGGCCCGCTACATCAATCTATGTGTCCCGCGAAAGAAAATCAAACGTGTCAACTTCCTTGATCCTTGCTAAAATCTGTACCAAAATTTCAAATCTTCAAATGTATTAAATAACAGTGATACTCTAGGCATGTTCTTGTTACCAAAAGTAGAGTAATTGAAACAATAGTTGAAGAAACCATTATTCTTGACTTCTTCATATGGTTTCACAGTCAGAACGGCCCTCCAAGGGAAACGGTAATTACAATATGGCCCGCGACAAAAAGGAGTTTGACACCTTTACTTTAAAATAATGCAGTTGGAGGAAATCCCAAATTGAGTAGCACATCTGGACAGTGTTACTATTGCAGTTTTCCTGCTAAGTACACAGTAATTTTCGTAGAGTACATTTTACTTGACTGAAAAAAATGAATGCTGGATATTTTCTTTTTTTTTCTTTTCAAGTAAACTTCGCTCAAAATATTTTTTTTTTGTGTAAAAATTAATGTTGGATATTTTACTCTCAAATTTTACTCTGTCTAGACTGGGACCAAATATAGTCTTTTTAGAATAAAATGTACTCCCAAAAATTTACCGCGTAGCATACCTGTGTAGCAAAGTATGATGTAAGATTAATTTCAGATAATTTACTGATGAAATCATGTCATTTCACACTGTCAGCAAGAAAACGCTAATACTCACCATGACAAATTTAGTTGAGGGAGCAAGGCAATACACACTGCATATTTAAGCGGGCAAGTTCATGTTTGTATAGCTGTGTGATTTACTGTTGAAAGATGTGTGTGTGTGTGTGTGTGTGTGTGTGTGTGTGTGTGTGTGCGTGGGTG